ACGACGGAGTTAGGCAGCGACCACTTACGCATCGCCGCAGACGGACCCGAGCTCACGAACAGAGAGGAATCAATCAAGGCCAGTGGACATTGCAGTCGCCGCGGACTACGAGGGGCGCATCGCGATTGCCACCATGCGCCAGCAGGACAGGACTCCCCGACCAGGGAGCCAGCAGACGCGCCGCCATGCAGCTCACCCGGCGCGCCCAGGCATGGAACCCGGTTCCGTCGTCGACTCGTACTATCAGGACTCAGGATGCCAAAAGAGGCCCCAGGCACCACCTCTCGTTCCTTAGTCAATACACCAGAAGGGGATTCTTGAAGGTCTTCAGAAGTTCTGGCGGCCCATCTTCTCGCCCAAGATCGCGGGCCCCAACGCGGCCCAGCAGTGCCTCGAAAAGCACCTCCCCAGCTTCGACTGCGCGGACCTCAGGGCCCCTGCTCTGGAGGACTTCAAGCGAGCTCCCCGTAAGGTCCGTCACGCAGCACCAGGGCCCGACCAGATACCCTATGCAGCATGGGCCACTAGTCCAGGCTCCTCCCTGATCCTGTATGAGCTGCTGATGCAGATGTTCGAAACAGGCCTCGCACCGCATCGCTTCGACGACTCGATCTTCGCTTTTCTCCCCGAAGGCGATGACACCCAGGATCAATTTGCAGCGTTTCGCTGTCCAGGGGACACGCGCCCACTCTCCTTGAATAGCTCCGATGCCAAGCTGATCGCGCACGGCGCCAACATGGGCATGGTTGATATGGCTCGCGAGCGCACAGAGGACACGCAGCAAGGCTTCGTGAAAGGCAGCAATTTCGGACAGCACATACTGACGCTAGACGCTGAAGCACGCAGTGTAGGTCATTCTCCAGAGGCCTGTGCTGACCTCCCGAGTCTAATCAGCTTTGACATCAAGGCTGCATTCCCATCCTTAGGATGGGAATGTTTATTTGCAGCCCTCGCAGCTCATGGAGATCCCCAAGGCCACCTCAATGTAAGTCTGGCCCTTTTACGGCGCTCCTGGCGCATGGGCCCGAATTGGCGGCCAGCTAGAGTACACGTTTGGAGTCGGTTCTGGCTTCCTCCAGGGATGTCCACTGGCAGGTTCAATATGGGCACTCGCATTTGACGCCCCTATCCGTCATTTACTCAGCATTTTAAGAACCCCCCCCCTGGGCCCAACAAGCTCGGAGCCTGTGCAGACGATCGGGGGCTTGTCCTCGCTCGCCTCCCATTCCCCCCCCTCCCTTTCGGGCCATCGGTGACCTCGCAGGACCCGAGCTTCAGATCCACAAGACAGTGATTGTGCCCCTGTGGGCACTTCTGACGCCCGATGTCTCACACAGAGGCTCCTCGAGTTTCTCACCCCCGAATGGCAGTTTGTAAAGATATCAGGATACGCGCGCTACCTAGGGGTCCTCATAGGCCCCGAGGCCACACGAGATCTCCAAAGGAAAGCAGCATTCGACAACTATTGGCTGCGCGTTGTACAGCTTGCCGCCAGCGCTCCAGGCCCAGCAGTCGCAATCAAGCTATATAACACATGTGTTAGAACCGTTATCTCTTTTCTCAACCAGTATTTTCCGCCCGCAGCCACGTTCCTTCGCCACGAACGGGGCACGTTGCACAAGATCCTGAGAGCACCCCCCGATTCCTGGCGCCTCGTCGACCTCCTCGGCACTCGCTCGCGGTCGCACTCGCCCTCCCCCTCAGCTCTAACCACACTGTCGCTAGCCTCAGCGTGGCGGGCGGCAACAGTAACGCTCCCGCAATGGCCGCCTCTCTTTTATGCTCTTCAGCGTGCGCACGACCAGCTGAATCCAGAACTTTCCCTCGCGGACCCGGCCCAGGCCCAAATTCGGACCACTGTCTCTCCTGTCTTTTGGAAGAGCTACGGAAAAGTAGAGTGCTGGCGCGCGCTTGGCAAAGCGTCACCACCATATAAAGTCCCGCTGCCCTAAGCGAGCAGCAGAAGCCGAGCTGATGTCTGCCGCTTGGGAGCAAAGGAGGGCCAGGGTTCAGCGGACGCTCACCTCGGTCCTCCACGCCTCTTTCTTCCCCGACAAGTTCGCCGAAACCCTGGCCCGCCGCTTGCACGCAGCGATGCCCACAGTACAGATTCCAGCGAATCTCGACGAGCGCTGGCAGACGCTCGCAACAGGGCTATCCAAGAAAACCCCCGCGATCCGCTGGGCAGTATATAAGACGCTGGCAGGAGCATGGTGGACAAGCCACCGCTTCCCATCTGGCCCGCGCAGGAGTTGCTTGCTAGGATGCAGCGGCTGCCCAGACCGTCTCGGCCATTACCTCTCCTGCCCCCGCTTCCTGCACTTCCTTGCCCTGCCCCGCGCCTTCCTCTTGCCCGACCCCCTCGCCCGCATCGGCCTAAGGGCGGCTGGGCAGCACGACATCCCTGAACACCCACTGGCCGAGCCCACACGGCGGACCGTTCTTTCATATCCCCTTTTTACAACGAGCTACGTACTTGCAATCTCGCCGCGCCTGGAGCCGCGCATCAGTACAAAGCAGGCACAGAGCGCCTGGCCACTGCACTGCATGCCTTGAGGCCATAGACGCCTGAGGGGCTGACGGAAGGTACGGTCGTTCCTCCTCCTCCTCCCGTTCCTCCTTCTCCTCCTCTTACATCCTCCTCCTCCTCCTCCTCCGCTCCGTTTTGGGTAGGTGCCCGCCCAGCTGAAGGACCACAGCCTCTGGAGGACGAGCTGCGGCGAGGCACGGGTTCAGAACAGGGCCCTGGAGGACTCAACAACTGATGCTCCGGAAGGTGGTCCACACACCGAGGAGGGAGAGGAGGAGGAGGAGGAGGAAGAGGAGGAGGAGGAGGAGGAGGAGGAGGAGAAGGAGGCGGATGATGATGAGGAGGAGGCTGAACGCGGCGGAGAACCAGAGCAAGTCCAAGAACACCGCAAATGCAAGGCCGCGGGCGATTCGCAACGCAGATCAGCGCTTGCAGTGCTTCTCGATTTCCGATGGGGTTTCTGCGCACCGGTGTTCTGTTTGCACGTCGTTTGCAAGGGTTTAAGTAACTTCGGTTACTCGTGGGTGGCGGAGACATTCTGTGCAGCGGCTAGAGCAAACGGTGGGGCGCATCCAACGACCTCTTTGGTCTTTTTGATTTGAGGACCTCAAACATGCTTGGCGGAATGGTGCCCCCAGGTGGGCTGTACAAGGGCGCCCTCTGCGTTCGCACGAGTTTCGTTGTTTGTGGGGACGCATCGAGGCCGAGGGGCGGCCAGCCAGACACGACCGAACGGTGTCAGGGCCCAAGTGGCCCTGACAGCGCAGGCGTACGTCGCTCAGCTCTCGCTTCTCGTCGCCATCCCCATCACAGCCTGGCGCGACCCCCGAGCCTGAGAGGGCGTGTCCAGGGCCACAGGCATCGTTGTCCAGTGTAACGGCTGCACCCAGCAGCTGGTCACCTGTGCAAGCACTTCTCTTGTATCCTCCCTCTCTCGTGCCCGTCGGTGAACAAGGCGACGATCTTCGGATCAGGCCATCCGGGGTCGGATCCAAACGAGGGGTCAGGGAGAAAGTTTAGGTTCAAAGTTTGTGTGTGTGTTTTTTTTCCGCTCCTTACCTCCGCGGCAAGCCAGGTAGAGGGAGGGGCGGGCCCAGCCCGGACATGGACACCGTCGGTGGCGGAGCGGGCAGTTCGGGTTGTGATCGCCGCCGCCCACCGTGCTCATTTCGCCAGGTGGCCCGAGAGTCCCCTGGGGCTATGCAAGGCTGTGGACGCGAGCCTTGAGCTTGTGGGCTGGCGTGACGGTGGCAGGGATGGGAACGTCTAGCGTCACTCTTTTCGGCAGGCCTGCTGTGAACTAGTGCCCTTGGAGTGGGGTGCACCCTTGTAGTTCTAAGTGCCAATATGCGATGCGATGCGAGGGGGATGAACGCGGAGTCGAACGGGGAGGAGGAGGATGAGGAGGAGGAGGAGGAGGAGGAAGAAGAGGAGGAGGAGGAGGAGACGAAAGGAGGAGGGCGGAGGGCGACGATGGGGGAAGGACGGGAAGGAGCGGCAGCGGAAAGCAGCTGCGCCAGCAGCAGCAGCAGCAGCAGCAGCAGCAGCAGCAGCAGGGGGAGCAGCAGTGGCGGGAGCAGCGAGGGGCAGGGGAGGAGTATCGCAGGACGGGGTGGAGAAGAAGGAGGAGGATAGCATGATAAGAGATGGAGAAGGAGGAGGAGGAGGAGGAGGAGGAGGAAGAGGAGGAGAAGGAGGAGGAGGCGGATATCATGAGAAGAGATGGAGGAGGAGGAGGAGGAGGAGGAGGAGGAGGAGGAGGAGGAGGAGGAGGAGGAGGAGGAGGAGGAGGAGGAGGAGGAGAGGAGGAGGAGGGAGGAGGAGGAGGAGGAGGAGGACAGGAGGAGGAGGAGGAGGAGGAGGAGGAGGAGGAGGAGGGGAGGCGGAGGGGAGGAGGAGGAGGGAGGAGGAGGAGGAGGAGGAGGAGGAGAGGAGGAGCAGGAGGAGGAGGAGAGCAGGAGTAGGAAGAGGAGGAGGAGGAGAGGAGGAGGAGGAGGAGGAGGAGGAGGAGGAGGAGGAGGCGGAGGAGGAGGAGGAGGAGGAGGAGGAGGAGGGGGAGGAGGCGGGTATCATGAGAAGAGATGGAGGAGGAGGAGGAGGAGGAGGAGGAGGAGGAGGAGGAGGAGGAAAACGAGGAGGAGGAGGAAAACGAGGAGGAGGAGGAGGAGGCGGAGGGGGAGGCGGAGGGGGAGGCGGACGAGGAGGATTAGGAGGACGAGGAGGAGGTTCAGGGAGAAGAGAAGGACGAGGATGAGGGATGTGTTACTATCTTGTCGAATCGGCTCCTGGGTCTGAGCCTCGCCCGCAAAAGGCCGAGCAGGACTTTGGCACCGCCTCTTGCAAGCTCTCGTCGGTGTCTGCGTACCTGCGGGAATCGGCCTTCACCGTCCGGGGCGAGGGGCGAACGAGAATAGCAGGATTGGCAGGGGGACGGTCCGCTTACGACGGGGGGGGGCGGCGCTCGCGCCAGTCTCTGCCGGGCTTCTTCTGGACTGCGTTCCACCGCATCCCCGACTGGGTGCCCGGCAAGTGGGGCCTCGTGCGGCTGCACTCGCAGGCGCGGGGACGAGCTTCGCCGCCGCGGCCACCGCCGCTGCCGCCGCTGTCACCGTCGCCATGGCGAGAGGAGCCTCCTCCTCCGAATGGGGAGAGGAGCCTCCTCCTCAGAGTTGTCCCTGGGGCCTCCTCATCCGTGTCCTCCATCATGTTCCTCTCCTTCCTCCACCTCGTCATTTCCCTCCGCTCTTTCCGCCCTTGTTCCCCCACCGATCCTTCCTTCACCTTTCCAGTTCCCTCCTCCTCCTGGTCCAGGATGTCCCTGCCCCGCCTCCGCGCCGCCGAGCGGGCGGCGGGGCCCGGCGAGTGGGGCGCAGCACGGCGAAGCTGCTGGCCTGTGCGCCGCTCCTCCCCGAGGAGCCGTCGGAGGCCGACCCCCGGCCACGCGGGGCGCCCTGGGAGACCGCCGCGCCATCGACGACGCGACGCGCCGATATCTGGCCTTGAGTCGGGCGTGTCCCCCTGCAGGGGGATTTTCGACTGAAAATAAAAAATACTCCATTTTTAAAAAAATAATAAAAAAAAAACATCCCAAAATAGTATGAGGACTATTTTTGGAGTATGTTTTGACCATTTGGAGGCATTTTTTGGCATTTAGATTTTGAATCGAAAATCCCCCTGTGGGGGGACACGCCCGACATAAGTCTCGCCCTCTGCGGAGGCTGTCCGAAGGGCCGCGGAGCCCGGCGGGCCCTGCAAAGTGATGGCCACTCCGCCAGGGGACGCCAGCCGAAGCCCCCCCACCGCGCGGGAGATTGGCCACGACACAGTCTAACATATGTGCGCAGACTCTGTGTGTGGGAGCCTGACCCACCGGGGCGATACGATCACGCTTAGCGCTGTTGTAGTAGAAGATCCGTGGCGGGCTCTGTCTGGCCATGCCGCTCGGTTGGGAAACCATATACCCATCGGTCGTTGGAAGTAGGCATTTTTGGATTCCCTGTTTCCAATCTGCTTGAGCCGCCTTCCTACTGTAAGAGTCGAGTGGTTTTCCCTCTTCCCTCCTGTTCAGGAAGCGGGCGGAAATTAAATCTATTTCCAACGCCTTCCCGCTTCATGGTTCTACCTACTCCTTCCGACCGATGGGTACTGCGCATACCATGTGTATTCTACGTGCTCTGGTCGGAAGTGCGCATCGCCTTTCCGCCATCGCCTCGCCGGTCTGGCACGTTTCCGCTGCAGGCGTTGTGCGTGTCTCCTGTCCGGTCCGTTGCGTGACTCGTTTGTCTCGGCCTCGCGCCGATAGAGGGAGGCAAAATGGGCAGGACTTGTAAGAAGGTGGCCGGGCTTTTCAGAAACCCTTCCCTCTGTGAAGCCCTCTGTGGCTTAGGAGAAAGCTTAGAAAGTTTCTCAGAAGGCCAGAGGCCTTCTGAGCTTTCAGGAAAGGTCCGCCCTGCCTGCCTCCGCCACATTTGTATTTTCCCACTTGCTCACGCTGGCCCGCCTCCAAACCTGGAGGACACGCCCCTTGCTTGAGCGCTTGCGTCGGGCGCACGCTTGAAAATTCGAGCTGGCATGCCCCGCTTGCGCTGACCAGTTGTTGTTTTTACGACGAAGTGTGTATGTGTGCGTGTGCTTGTTTCCCACTTGTGCTGGCCTGGCGCAGCGACCATCTATCTTTTCTGTACGCGACTCGCCATGTGTTGTCTTTCCACCTGCAACGTCAGCCGGAATGCGTGCCAGTTTTCGCTACAGCGACGTCGCTCATGCGTTGGATGAACACACGTGTGTGCTTATCCACGCACGGATGGCTTCTGGCGGGCGACTGCTGCGGGACCCTAAGTGGTCTCGGAGGGTTCGGGTGCTACTAGACGCGCGCGGGCGCGGTTGCTGCTCTACGACTTTCTCCGCCCTGTCGCGTCGCGCAGGGCCGCGACGCACAAAAGTGTGTGTGTATGTGTGTGCGCGTGTGTGTGCTTTTTATGGGCTGGCCGCGCTCGATTATTCGCTTTACTTTCTTCGCCGCGCTGCCGCGCGCGTGGCCGCGAAGCCACAAGACGTGTGGGCTCGTGTGTATGTCCCCTACGGCCTAAGGCCCGCGATGGGTTTCCAGATGCCAAACGATTGTCAGCGTGGACCCAGACCGATAGGCTATGGCACTGTACGTGTCCAAGCTGTGTGGCGCAGGGTCTGTGGTGCAAGCTGTGCGGTGCAAGCTGTGCGGTGCAATATCTGTGGCGCAAGCTGTGCGGTGCAAGCATTTTGGTGTAAGCTATGTGGTATCAGATGGCCTTCGGTTCACCCCGCCCCCGTGCCTGGTTTCTGGGTCAGAGGACTCGGATGCTGCTCGGGGTTTCGGGCCCTGGCTTCCGGGAATCCATTTTGTCAGATCGAGCATATAAGGCGTGAGTCCTCGGGGCATGCGCTGCGGGCCAGAAGCACGATGCTTCAAGTGGGGTCCCCACGTGAGGCATGATTCCCAGTAGAAGAGGAAGAACACGAGGCGGAAGAGGAGGAGGACTGGCAGGAGAACAAGGAGCAGGATTGAGGAGTCCCAAGCCATTTTCGGAGCGCGCTGTGCTAATGGGAGCGAAGCACCGGAAAATCTTTGGTTTGAGGCAAATTAGCGGAGCGCCGCTCCGCTAATGGGAGCGAGGCGCTCCGAATCTTTTGGTTTGAAGCCAATTTTCGGAGTGCCGATCGACTAATGGGGGCTGAGCTAGGTTCGACGCCAATTATCAGAGCGCCGCTCCACAAAAGTGGACGCGACAAAATCCGAGAGCCTCCAGACCCGACTCCCAACCAATTACCCAAAGTAGCGCGAGCACGAACCTCTAAGCGTTAGCCCTGTTGCGGAAAATTCAGAGTCCTGGTGGTTGTTCAGGAGAAGCAGGAGCCCGCAGAAGAGAACATGGCACCTCGACCACTTGATTTCAGTCCAACCAAAGCCAGAGGGGAGGTGGGGGGAGAAGGAATTGTTTCTGGGAGAGGCGGGTATTGGCCGGGGCATGTCAGCAACACACCGACACCATCGGTTGCGAGGCCACGCTTCCTGCGATGCCGCGAGCAATGGTGCCTGCACCTACATGGGCCCGCAGGGTTGGCCCTGCCATGATCGATGCTGGTGTGTAGCCGGCATCCTCCACGGCGAGGGTGCATGTTTCTTTTTTCTTGTGCGCCAGTCGCACCGAATTGAAGAAGGACCTGGCCACGCCCAACACGGCTCAGTATCGGCCTCCCTACACCGCGTTCACCCCGTTGCATCGACGTTCATCGAGGCGGCCGTCCGGCGTCTTGATCCCTCCCTCTTTTCCCCTCCCTCGTCTTGCCCGCTTTCTTTGTTTCTCTCCCCCGCAACGTCATCACCCCTTCCTGCCCTGATCCAAACCCCTCGTCGTTCCCTCCTCCCTCCTCTCCTTCCTTGCTTCGCCCCCCCTGGCCTCAACCCGCGCCCGTTTCCTGCCCCTCCTTCTTCCTTCCTCTCCTCGTCCGCCTCCCTCTCACGTCCCAGCTTCCTGCTCTTTCCCTCCTGCCCCCTGTTCGCCACATCGCCGCTGAATGGAAGCGACGGTCAATAGGCTACGACTTCGTGCGCCCCGTCTTTCTGGACTGGAGGCCGCAAGAGGGGTTTGGGACCGAGGCCGCGGTCCGGGGCTGAGCTCAACATGCCCCGACTGCTCAAGGGGCGCCTCGACGCTCCCCTCCTACAGGGACCCCCTCTCCCTCCTGCCTGCCCGCTCCTTCCGCTGTGCTATGGTACCGAGGGTAAGCCTGCGATCGCGTCGGCTGTCTTTCCCCCCCAGCGAAGATGGAGGGCGCCTTCCCAGACGATGATCCAGAGTATCCTGGCGTGCGGTGGGTCCTTGTTCGATACGTTCTCACATGGCTGAAGGACGGGGTGCCGATGCCCCGCTGCCAGGACCTCCCAGCGAAAGCTTTCGGCTCGCTGCGGGGGGCGCCGCGCGTCTTCGCGGTCACTCACCCCTGGCTTGACCGCTGGCATCCAGACCCGGCTGGCATCCAGGCAGGGCGCCGCCAACTGTGCACCGACACCGAGTCCGGCAAGGGCAATATGTTGTGAATGAAACGTCTCCTGAGGGAAATGGGTCCTATGGTTTTTCATTTTTGTTGGCCTCCTGGGGCCCCCCCGAAATACTCCGAACGAAGAACTGGTCCTCGAGGAAGGCCCTGGGGTCCATGACCCGTTTTGCTCATGACCCGTTCATTCATGCCACGTTTGGCACCCATGATCGGTACATGCGCCCTCTTGGGCCGGGGACTCGGTGAGGATCTGTGTCGGGGTGTGGGCGTCCTTCCCAGGTGGAGACAATGCGAGCGAAGTTTGACAAAATGAGGCAGCAGATGATGACCGACCTGGACGACGTCCTTTTCTTTGACTACCTCTGCCTGCCGCAGGTGAGCACGACTGGTGTTGATGATCGCTCTCCGGCCGAGAAGCTGCGCTTTCGCAGCGCGCTGTCGGGGGATCAGATGGGCAGGATATCCGCACGCGCTGCGGCGCATTTCCCGACACCCCTGCTACGCGGAGGCAGGGTCTGGAGAGAGAGAGGGGGGGTGATGGGCTGGTCTCCTGGATCGATGGCCGCGCAGTTTACAATTGCCTGAGGCCTCTTTCAACTTCTGGATGCGTCCAGAGACTGGAGGCCCCCGGGGCCTTCCAGCTCCAGAGACGTCCTCGGGCAAGCGGGGCGGGGGAGGGACGGGGGGTGGTCCACAGTACACAGTGCATGGTGCGCGTCCCCCGTGAACGCTGCCTTGGGCCGCCAGAAGGTCCGAATAATGAGCACGCGCTGGGCAGCCTCCGTGCGGCCGGGGCCTTACCAACTGTCGGCGGCGTGCCGAGGTGGGAAGTGAGGCAGGCCCTCACGGGAGGCGATTTTGGAAACTGGAGCAGATACATTACCAGTGGCGGGCGGTTCTTCAATCCCAGGACTTTTTCGAGGGTCGGGGACGACGTCGGGGTGGTGTGGTGTATACTTGTTCCCCGTTTTCCGGGAAAAACAGCCAAGAATAAATACACCAGGATCCCGTATACACCAGGATCCGCTTTCCTGTGCGATATTCAGTGTGAGGCCCGAGAAAGGCGTCGGTGTATAGAGGTCGGTTCCCTAGCGATGGGGCTGCTCAGAAGCCTCCTGGCCTTCCCGAGGAGCCCTCCGCGGCTCCGCAGGAGGCCACTCAAGGTTGCCCAGGCCTCCCGAGCGCCCTCGGAGGAGGCGCCCGCCCACTGTGCTCCTCCTCCCTCCCCCTCCTCCTCCTCCTCCTCCGCCTCCTCCTTCTCCTCCTCCTCCTCCCTCCTCCCTCCTCCCTCCTCCCTCCTCCCTCCTCCCTCCTCCTCCTCCTCCTCCCTCCTCCCTCCTCCCTCCTCCTCCGCTCCTCCCTCCTCCTTCCTCCTCCTCCTCCTCCTCCTCCTCCTCCTCCTTCCTCTCCTCCTCCTCTCCTCCTCCTCCTCCTCCTCCTCCGCCTCCTCCTCCTCCTCCTCCTCTCCTCCTCCTCCCTCTTCCTCCTCCTCCTTCCCCTCCTCCTCTCCTCCTACTCTTTCTCCTCTTCCTCCTCCTCCTCCTCCTCCCTTCCACTCCTGCTCCTCTCCTCCTCCTCCTCCCTCCTCCTTCCTCCTCCTCCTCCTCCTCCTCCTCCTCCTCCTCCTCTCCTTCTCCTCTTCCTCCTCCTCCTCCTCCACTTCCTCCCTCCCTGGAAGAGGCGGTAATCAGGAGTTAAAAAAAGGTTTACTCTGGAGTTAACCCTTCGTTGGGTGAGCGTCGATGTATTCACCCTGAGAGGGTGTTAACTCCAGATTAAACCCTTCTCGTGGACGCCGAGCGTCGCAGGGGTCCACCCTGAAGACGGTTAACTCCAGATTAAACCCCTCTGGCGGACGCCGAGCGTCGCAAGGGTCCACCCCGAGGGAGGTTAACTCCAGATTAAACCCTTTTCGTGGACACCCCCTGAGAGGCCGAGGCGGAGAAGGTGGAGAGCGAGAGAGGGAGAGAGAGAAATAACGAAACAGAGAGGTAAGGACCTGGCGGGCGCGGAACCAAACTCGCACCGAAATGCCCGCGGCGACACGGAGGCAGCGGTGGCACTTGGGACATCTTGGGCGCCCTTGGGACCGTCTAGGAGTATATTGATTGAGCGGGTCATGCATGTGGCTGCAGGGACAAGCGATATCATGAACATGGCGAAGGAACACCTCAGGGCGAAGGCCCCCAGGCGCTCCCCCATGAACCGCGCCCCAACACTCTGGCATTTGGGATGCCGTTCGCGCCATACCCGCTGCCTCTAGGACTGTCTTGGGACCATCTTGGGCCGTCTGGGCGACCTGTGGGGGGTCACTTGGGCCGTGTTGGGGCGATTGTAGGGGTGCCCGAGGCTGCCAAGCACGATGCGAAGACGAAACATACGAATGCCGTTAACACATACGTTTTACGGAAGGAACGGGGCCGTTTTTGCTTCTCGGGGCCGCCTGGTGGGTAACATTGCACGGGTTATGAGGCGTCTTGGAGGCATCGCGTTGGCTGCTTAGGGGCCTCTTTGGGGTCTCGGGGGTCCTCTTGGGGCGTGGGGCTGGCAATTCCAATTGGATTGCCCCATCTTGGATTCCTGAGGAGCCCTCTGGGAGACCTTTGGGGCCGTCTTGGGTGCCTCTGGGACCGGCCTGGGACCCTCTTGGGCCGTCCTGGCGCCCTCTGGGGGGCCTCTTGGGCCGTGTAGGGGCGATCTCAGGGGTGCGAAGACGAACATGATGGATACGGTAATTATGTGCGCGTTACAGAGGGAATGTGGCTATGTTTGCCTCTCGGGGCCCTCGTGGAAGGCAAATTGCACGGCTTATGAAGCGTTTTCGAAGCCTCTGGGGCCGTTGGAGACGTCCCGTGATCCGTCGAAGCCGTCTTCAGGGTGGTGGGCGGCTGGCTGGGGCCGCCGCGACGCTCATCGGACCGCCCTCCGAAGCGATTTTGGGCCCCCCTGGGGCCTCTTCGGGACCTCTTAGGGCCTCCTGAAAGCCCCTGGGGCCGAAAGCTCGGAATTTGAATATGGTTTTCCACCTCTGGGACCCCTGTGGGGTTCGTCCTGGGGCTCTCTTGAGCGGTCGTGGGGGCCTCTCGGGCCGTCTTGGGACCCTCTTGGGTCGTCTTGGAGCCCTCTCGAGGGCCTGTGGGGCAGTCTTGGGGGCCTCGGGAGATTCTTGGGGCGTTTGGGAGGCCTCTTGGGGTGTCTTGGGGGCCATTTTGCGAGTCCCGGAGCGGGCTGTGCGTCTTGGAGCGGCCTGTAGGCGTCGCGGGTCCCTCTTGGAGCGTTTCGGATTATCTTGGCGTTTTCTGGTGGCGTCTTGTGGGCCTCCGGGCCCCCCCGAAGGTCTGCGCGCACACATTTGCGGTAGAGGTCGCGGCCCCGGGGGCTCGGGCCCCGGCACGCCGTTACATGTATGTATATGTATGTATGCATGCATGCATGTATTCATGTATGTATGTATGTATGTATGTATGTATGTATGTATGTATGTATGTATGTATGTATGTATGTATGCATATATATATACATATATATATGTGTGTGTATGTATGTATGTATGTATGTATGTATGTCTGTATGTATGTATGTAGGTAGGTAGGTAGGTAGGTAGGTAGGTAGGTAGGTAGGTATGTATGTATGTAGGTAGGTAGGTAGGTAGGTAGGTAGGTAGGTATGTACGTATGTATGTATGTATGTATGTATATATGTATATATGTATGTATGTATGTGTGTGGATGTATGTATGTATGTATGTACGTATGTCTGTATGTATGTATGTTTGTTTGGTTGTGTGTATGTATATTTGTATGCATGTGTACATATACAACATCAACAACGACAACAATAGCAACAACATCAACACACACACACACATCACGTAACAAGCACACTTAAAACACAGGCCTCCCGAATGCGCCTTGGGACCTTTTCAGGCCCATCTTGAGGCCACCAGAATGTGCCTCCACGCATTTCGGGCATCATGGGGAGCCAACTGGCCCTCCGCAAAAGCACCACACAGCTTCAAGTCGGCACGTACCTTACGCAATCCGTGCCGTTTTACGATCGTCTTCCTCGTCCTGTCCTTGTCGCACCCCCCTGCATCGTCAAGGTCGTTTTCTTCTCTGTGCCCTCCTGGTTTTCCTCATTGTTTCCCTTGCCCGGCGCTCCCCTGGCCCTCCCGCCCCGCCCCTCGTTCGCCCCCCCCCCCCGGTGGCGGCGGCGGTGCAGTCGCAGCCCGATGCATTTCAACTCTTCCTCCTCCTCCTCCTCCTCTTCATCCCCCTGTTCGTCCTCACCTTCATCATCCGCATCCTCGTCATAGCCATCGTCATCATCAACATCATCATTCATACAACCCTCACAATAATCACCATACTCATCATCATCACCACCATCACCATCAATGAAGGTGGCAATTGCGTGAAAATGTTTACTCCAAAGTTAACCCTCCGACCGGAAGTACCGTTGAAAAAGTGTTTATTCCAGAGTTAACCCTCGGACCGGAGATCCCGAGAAAAGTGTTAACTCTGGAGTTAACCCCTCTTGGAGGGGAGCGCAAACAGTATGTGTGATGTTATTGAAGAGAGCGCTTGCAGACCCCGGCGAAGGAACCGACGAAACAAGAAAGCCCGCAACGTGTGAGAAGCAATCGCCCTAGATCAGAGCTAGAGTGACGAGAGACTTGGGCAAGAAAGCCTGCAGTGCAAGAGAAACACGCACCCTGAACCAGCAAGCCTGCAGAATGAAAAAAACACACCTCCTAAACCAGACAGGCCAGCAGAGCTGGAAGAACAAGCCTCCAGAGCCAGAAACATTGCAAAACTAAGGCAGAAGGGATTCATAGCAAGAGAGCGTTCGTATCCGAAACAAGAAACCGACGTAACCTGAGAGCCAGCAGCCCCAAACAAAACAACCTTCGGAGCAAAACAGAAAACCTGAAGAGCGAGGAAAGGTGGCCCAATAACCTGGTGACTCAATAACCAGACAGCAGGTCGAGAGGAGGGCGGCAAATCTAAAACTACGAGACCCAAACATCACCCCCCTGAGCAGCCTGACGAAAAGTCGTCCAGAACGTGACAGGCTGTGGAACTGGATTGGAAAACGAGTCGATTGCAGAGAAACCGGCGCGACTTCGGGAAGTAACCCCTGGCAACAGAAAACCCGAAAGGCAAATGAAAGGAGCGACTGCGCCGCCGTAAATGGCCAGCCCCAGGGCGATAATGTTTCGAGCGCGGGGCCCAGGAAGTGAAAAGAGCATGCGCCGCGAAATTAGAGAAGAGGCGAAATGGTGGCCAGAGGGGCGCTTCAGATGCAGACGGGTTTAATCTGGAGTAAACCCTTCCCTGTGGCGAGGCACTGCAGGTACAAGTTCACAAAGGTTTAATCCAGATTAAACCTTTTTTTTAACTCGTGATTACACACTTTTCCTCCCTCCTCCTCCTCCTCCTCCTCCTCCTCCTCCTCCTCCTCCTCCTCCTCGTCGAGCCTGGGCTCTCGGGCGGAGGGGAGCAGCTCCGCGCAGCAGCAGCGGAGGGCCCGAGATGTGGCCCCCCCGTGCGCCAAGCAGCCGCGGCACAGCGCGAGGGCGGGTACTCGGAGGCGACGATGAGGGCGAATAGCCCAGGGGAGGGCAATACAGTGGGGGTGCGCATCAAGAAAGCATATGCTTTTCGTCAGGGTATCCTGGGTTTCTTCGCTCCTCGCGCTGCGCGGTGACTTCCCGCAGCCGCTGAAGGAGCTGCTGCGTTCAGGGCGCTCCGGGTTTCCCCTCAGGTGCACCTCGCGCACGGGTTCTCAGGGTTGGGTGTCTTGCGAGGGTTTCTTGCGGCCGCTCCCGCACTGTACATGTATCCAGGGGCACCCATGGTCCATGCCTTCGGCGAGGCTCCCAGGCGAATGCGTGTAATGCTCGCCCTGGGATCTATTCGCCCCGAGCTCGGGATCCCGCAAGGGGGGGAGGCCACGGGTGTGTGTGTGAGTTCGATCGGTCTTTGCACCGGACCGCCCAAAATAGATGCCCTCCAGCCGCCGGCAGCTCCCGATAGTTGCGCATAGTTGCGGTTGGGTGGGGCATACAGGGGGGCGTCTGTTTGCGGCAGTTCGGTGCACCGGCAGATCGAACTCGTGCCCCCCTCAGGGTCACCCCCCGTTGGTGGATTCTGACCATCGTCGCGACCGAGGTACCTGACGAGTCGCGTGATTTTCATCGACGAGGTGCCGGGCGACGCCAGCTCCCGCGCGCCGTACCTCGACCGCGGGTGGTGCTACTTCTCGGCGGCGCGCCCCCGGTGTGGAGGCGAAGGGGGGGCGGGCCTGCTCAGCGGGCTCGGAAGGCCTCCGACCTTTTCGAGAAACTGTCCGCTCCGCCTTCTCCGAAGCCCCGGGGCCCTCTGATCGGGGAAGCGCTGGGCTCGAGCACTCCAGAACTCGGGTTTGCCGGGGCTCTCTGACGACCGCGTCCTGGGTCCTGAGTGTCCAGTTCTCGTGGGGTGAATGCAGCGGGAGCTTGCGTCACGTTTCCAGGGGAGGGAACGCCACCCCGACCCCGGCAATCGGCGTTTGCTCAACGGCCCCGGGCGCTTGCTGCACGGCCCTGCCCTGTTCGGCTCCTTCCTTGGGTGCGTTTGCTGAACGGCTTCGCTTGTCGGGGTGCTTCTTATTCAGGAGCGAAAGAAGGACGTACACGTACATGAATCCACGCCGGTTTCGAGAGTACGCATTGTCCCAAAGTTCGTATCACGCGGCCGGTCTCGCAGAACGAGGGGCCGTGTTCATGTACATAGCTGGGTGCGTACGTCCTGTGTGGGCTCCCTACTTATGGGGGTGGATTTTCTGCCCTCTGCGTTTCAGAGTGGGCCTCGTCGTTGTCACGGTGGCCCCGTCAGGCCAGCCCGAGCCCCCCCGAGCCCGACTCTTGCTCCCCCCCCCACGACCTGGGAAGGCCTGCCCCCTTTCACTTTCCTTATGTCGGGCCTGTCCCTCTACAGGGGGAATATTCAAGCATTGACAAAAATAATATGGAGACCTTTTGTTCATTTTTTGTATCTTTAAGCATCTTTCGAATATGTTTTGAGTCTGTTTTACTTTTCGTCCACAATCCCCCTGTAGGGGGACAGGCCCGACCTAACACTTCCCCCCCTCGGCGCGCCGCCGAACTTCGAGAGCGCGGTCGCGTCGATGAACACGTTTCCGCGGGATCTCATGTGGACGCAGAGGTTCAGGAGGGAAAAAACACACAGACACAATTCATCGTCGATTCCCAGGAAAATATGGGAAGTGGGGGGGAGACAAACACCAAGAAAATATGGGAACATATGGGGAATCCTGTTATTTGTCTGTATTTTGTTGTGTCCTGGGACCTTCAAGGTCGCTGAAAGAAGAGATCGCGCGGTTTCGGACGATGTCGGCCGAGTTCCGCCAGACTGGAGACATCACGGCCATCGTCGACGCATTTGATTCAGAGATTGCATCGAAGTCGTTCGCGCAGCCGTCAGACCGAGACCTCGTCCGAGGCCTCTTCGTCTCTCTGGCGCGGTCCCAGAGGCTGATCGCAGCCTCCGCCCGTGGCGATGTCAAGGGCGTGCAGGCCGCCATTGACGACGGAGCTGACCTGAAAAGCCGCAACGGTCATGGGCACACTGCCTTGCACGTGGCTGCCGCGAACGGTCACACTGGTGTTGTCTCTGTCCTTCTCAAGCGGAGCACGGCATTTGAAGTCTCCATGACCACGATGGAAAATGAGTCCTCGGTCGACCTTGCCAAGAACTGGCGCGAAAGCAGTGTCCTGTTGCGTCACAATCTGGGTGAACCGTTCCCACCTCTAATTGTTCTCACAATTCATGGTGATCTGCCACCCCTTAAGGAGCTTCTTAGTACGCTGCAAGCTGATGACGGGGGTGCTCAGGCTTTTCCCTCCGCAGGGATTGTGACATCGGAGCTCGCGCTGGTGAATGGCGAAAAGAACGGTCCTGCCGCCAGAGCAGGAGCAGTTGCACGCGAGAGCTCGGCATCCGAAAACGCACCACAGGCGAGTCATGACAAGAAGATCCCCGCGAGAGGACCAAAGACATTAGCGTCGCCAGCAGGGGCGCCCCCCGCTGCAAAGCCAAGAGCTCCGCCAGGGAAGACGGTGCCGGCGAAGGCGAAGAGCTCGCCGGTTCGTGGGGCAGCCCTGCGCACGGCAGCAGCTGCGATCGCACAGCCGAGCATGCAGTCTGCACCGTTGCCTGTCGAGGGAGAGGCATCAGAGCAGAACAGCACACCGACGCCGGTGCCCGTCGTTGATTGTCGCTCTGTTTTCGGCCTCCTCAAGGGCCCCACGTCACCAGGGCGGGAGCCGCCTCGGAATCCTGGTCATCACCCGCCTTGGGCGAGATCTGGGGAGCAGCGGTATCGGCATCTCTCTGTGCCCCCGAGGCGGTTGCGGGAGGCAGTCTCGCAACACGTGGCGGCGCTGCTGAAGCCAAGCCCGTGCCAAAGGCCAGCGGCGCTCACCCCAGAGACGCCCGCCGACACGCAGTCAAGCCTGTCCTGGCGATCGACGTCAACGAGGCAGACGACATCGGGTGGACAGCTTTGCATTATGCCGTTTCCATGGAGCACGCGGCCATTGCGAAGGAGCTCTTGCAGTCCAGGGCAGATCCGACACGATGCAACGCTGAAGGGGAGTCTCCGGCCGCGCTGGCAGCCAGGCTCGATGTCAAAGCTGTCTTGTCTGAACTGCGCGAGGGCGAGGGCCTGTGCGAAGGGCACTTCACGACGAAGGACAAGTGAGGGCTGCTGCGGCTACGAGCGCATGGGAGCTGGATAGATATGCAGATGGAAAATACGCACGCAAAGCCCAGAGCTTAGTGGGCCCTGGAAACGACAGGGCCGTTTTTTTACCGGTTCCGTTCTGCCGTTTTTTTGCCGGTTCCAACGCCGTTTTTTTTGCCGGTTCCGTCGCCGTTTTTGGACCGGTTCCGGCTTCGGTTCCGATCCTGAAGCCGTTTTTGTTGCCGTTTCCGGTCGCCGTTTTTTTACCGTTTCCATGTTCAAGGGACTTTTTTTGGGGAAAAGGTGAAAAAACGGCCCTGCCGTTTCCAGGGCCCACGAAGGCCCAGAGCTGCTTCAGGTTTGGAACGGATGAGTTGTAGCGAGAGGCAGCATTTACACGGGCTGGTACTCTGAGACGTTTCCGCTCTGGCGGGCGGCTTCGGGCGTCTGAGGCCGGTCACCGCGCGCTGCTGCGGAATATGGCACGCAGCCCTGAGTTCCGGTGTCGGGTCCGCAGGATCGGGGGAGCGTAAGACCCGGGTTTGCCAGGACTCGGGTTCGCCATCGTTTTTTGACGACCGCGACTCGGATTTTGACGAGGAGGAGTTTTGTGGGATGTCTGCAGCGGGAGGCCTCGTCAAAATGCAGGCTCGGCCTCGTCATTTTTTTGACGACCTCGTCGGGGATTTCCGAGTCCCCCGTACCCGGGTCTTACGTCTCCCCGACCGGTGTCGGGTCCGCAGGAAATTGCCGCGCAGTCCGTCCCTCTTCGCCTTTCCTCCCCTACGGCCCACTTCGCAGCCGATTTTTCTCCTCTGGCACCCGAGCTCCGCCCGAATATTTCGGCCGCTCAGAAAACAAGGGGAAACCTTGAGATACACCCCAAGGCGGCCATTCGCACGCACTTCTATCGAGGATGGGCGCCATTCCATCGTATATCTCAGCGTTGGACCCCAAATTTCTAGTCCTTTCGGAAGCCGCCCAAAGCCTGGGGCAGGGGTCGCCATGTCCACTTCTATCATTCTTGAGCCCCCATCTGGCCGCCGAGTGGATTCAGAGGACACCGAGCCCTTTTGGCCGACGACCCTGGCCGGACTCCACCCGCGTCCTGCAGCCCTGCACCTTCGGAGCCCGGTCGGGCGCGCAAGCTTGGGAGACAGAGAACAATACTTTGGCTGATTGCTCCACCCACTTAATCGAATTCTTGTTTTTTGTTACTCTCTCTCTCTCTCTCTTATTATGTGTATGTACAAGCCAGCGTATCTGTAGTATAGAATCGTATTTGTCATTGTATGTTAGCTCTCTTTTTTTTTTTCGCTCCTCGTGGTCTCGTCTCAAGCGTTCCTCGACTCAGCGGACCCACGTCCTCAGGCCTGGTGGGACTGAGCGCTGCCCTGGTCGCCACAGACGGGTTGCCTTTCTCTTCCCACCCTCCTCGCGTCGGCCGGGCGTAGGAATCGAAAGACATCCGTTCCAGAGCGTTCGGGCATGCGCTCGGAGCATTCTGGAACGCCCTGACACGGCCGCGGCGCCCGAGACACGCTCCACCAATCAGGAGGAAAAGAAACACACAGACACAATGAATCTTCGATTCCCCAGAAAATATGGAAAACATGGGAAGTGGGGGGAAGACAAGAACCCAGAAAATATGAGAAAATATGGGGAACTATTTTATTTGTGTGTATTTATTTGTGTGTCCTGGGGCCCCTTCAACCAAGCCAAGCCCGCCGCCTCTCGGAGTCCTCCGACGCATATGGGTGCAGTTGTGCCTCGATCTTGCTCTCCATGGCGCGATTACTGGTCCGCCTGAGAGCAGCCCGTGCTCGATCCCACCCCCTTTCCACCCGCTGCGCTCAGCATGCCTTGAAGAGCCGAGGCTCGGCGCAAGACGCGTGTGGGCCTTGCAGGTGAAGTCTCGGCCCTGCCTGTTCGCAGCCTGGTCTTCGGATGCAACTCCTGGGAGGTCAAATTCTGATTTTGCCCTGGTCCGAGATCCGGCTTAATCTGGCTTCGTCCCGCTCAATCCCGCTGAATCCCGCTTAATCTTGCTGAATCCTGCTTAATTCCGCTTGACCCGAGGCCCATTCCGGCGTAACAGCTCCCAAATGGGCCTTACTTCTCCCTGTGTTTGGCTCATCTCACCTCGATGCCGATCTCAAGGCTTTCATCGGTTCCTGAGGGCACATCCCTAAGATTGTCCTCGCTTTTTGCTCGCCCCTCTCAGGGATAGGGAAAAGTTCGAGGCTGGCCTTTAATTTTTCCGACGAGAACCTCCCAATAGTCGCCTCCTAACCGGTCGGGCCCGGGACCCGGGGAGCTCCTGGGGCGCCCGCCCGGGCGCGGAGGCGGCCGCCTCGCGCCGCGCGCCTCGGCCTGGGCCGGAGAGCTGCCCTCCCGCGCACCCGTTCTCCCGGGCATGTTGCCTTGTTGGGTGGAGGGCAAGCTCCTCCTCGTCCTCCTCCTCCTCCTCCTCCTCCTCCTCCTCCTCCTCCTCGTCCTCCTCTTCCTCCTCCTCCTCCTCCTCCGCCTTCTCCTCCTCCTCCTCCTCCTCCTCCTCCTCCTCCTCCTCCTCCTCCTCCTCCCGCGCCCCGTTCTCCCGAGCAGGTTCTGTTCGGGTGGAGGGCGAAGGTCACCAGCCTCGAGCCTATCCCTATCCCTAAGATGGACACGCCGAGAGGCAATGGCGATCTCTCAGAAGGGGAAAAACACACAAACACATTTAATCGCCGATTCCTTTGAAAATGTAAGAAAATTATGGGAAGTGTGGGGGAAGACAGAAACCCAGAAGCTACGGGAAAGTATGTTTTTGTTTTATTTATGTGTATTCATTTGTGTGTCCTGGGGCCACTTCAATCTTAGGGATGCGCCCTCAGAAACCCAGGTAATCCCTAAGATTGGCGTCGCGATGGGGCGATGCCCAGCATAGGGATAGGGATCTGTTCCAGGCTGGTCCAAAGAGGGTGGAGTCTGAAATGCCCTTGGAGCTGCTGTTCGAGGCCTGCACCTGCAGGCGGGGAAGCGCAAGAGGGGTCCATCTTCGAGGTGCAGAAGCCCACCTGCCTTTCGCCCTGAGCCCTCCGCCCCGAGAAGCGGCCCAGTTCCCCCGGGGAGGCGGGGGGCGAGGCCGCGAGGACCCCCGCTCCCTCGCGCTCCGTGGGGCGCGACGCGCCAGGTCGTCAGGAGGAGGAGGAGGAGGAGGAGGAGGAGGAGGCGCCAGGTCGTCAGGAGGAGGAGGAGGAGGAGGAGGAGGAGGAGGCGCCCTTCTCGGCATCGCTCGGACGTGTGCATTTTTCCTTCGGCGAGAACCATCGAGGAGCATCCTTGATCATTTGGCGAAAAAGCCGCGCACGAGACCGAGCAAAAACACACGGAATGGACGTCCCAGCGATGGCGAGCCTTCGATTTCCCCCGCCTGGGCCTCCTGGGAGGCCCTCGTCGCCACCGCTGGATCCGCCTCGAGGTCCTGGTCAGAGCGCACCGCGGGAGAGGTCTGGGGAGTAGCGGTACCGGTGTTTCTTGGTTTCCCTACGGTTGGGTGGCGCGGGGGTTCCCGATGGCCCCCCGAACCATGGTCCAGTTCGATTCCATGGATCCGACTTCATATCGGTTCTGGTGGGCCCGTTCCGTTCGGGCTCAGATTTTTTGACGATCCGATGCGGCCTGTGTTTGCACGGCGCTGTTGTGCATCCTGTCGCAGTTGATCCGATTGGATTCCGACTCTGTGCCGATGCCGCCCGATCGGGAGCACATCCCGATTCGATCCGATTTCCCGATTCGATGCTGGCTGATCCTGCCGGGGGCCCCGATGCGCTGGCAACCGGGTGTCCCCGACCCATGCATCCGGCGATGTTTGGCACTTTAGAGCTTCCAACCCCTTGATAGGATGCAGTTGTTCGTCCCAGATCCGTCCAGGGGCACGATCACGGCCCCCCAGGGCGCCCTGAGTCGAAAACCATCATCGCCCGAGATCTGGGGATGACCCCCTCGAGAGCCCCCAGTGCGCGGGCGCTCATGGGGGAACAAAAAGTGGCATAAACATAAAAATACTCGGAGGTCCGCGCGGATTTCTCGGATCGTCGCTGGACCCCCCCCCTCTGGCGCGCGGAGCGCGCCAGGGGCGGCGCCGGAGGCGCCGCCAAGGGGGGCCCCAGCGCCGATCCGAGAAATCCGTGCGGACCTCCGAGTATTCTGTTTATGTCACTCTTGGTTCCCCTAAGAATCATCATCGCCCGAGATCTGGGGATGACCCCCTCGAGAGCCCCGAGTGCGCGGGCGCGCAGGCCACGTTCGCCCTGGCCAAGAGGAGCGGCGGCGCCGAGAGGCCGCCGGGCTGAGCCCCGCGGGAGGTGCGCGCGCCGGCCCCGCTGGGAGCCCCCCTCCTCGGGGGCGCCCCGCGGGGGCTCCCCTCGGTGCCATGAAGTCGGGCCTGTCCCCCTACCGGGGGATTTTCCACGGAAGAAAAAACCCAACAATAATACAAACAAGTACCTTAGAACATACACCCAAAGGACAAATATCCCAATGATATAGTAATAATCATCATCATCATCATCATCATCATCATCATCATCATCATCAGCAGCAGCAGCAGCAGCAGCATCATCATCATCAGCATCATCAAAATAGTCAAAACATTGGCTGGGGATTATTTGTTGAGTTGTGTTTGGCCTTCTTGGGGCATTTTTCGGGTAGTTTTCATTTTTCGTCGAAAATCCCCCTGTAGGGGGACACGCCCGACATGACGGTACAATCGACATGGGTACGAAGAGGATGAGGAGATACATCGCGGCACGAGGTGTTTGGTCGTTTTCGGCCCCTGGGGGCACTTGCCAGGCCCCAGGGCCGTCACAAGACGACCCAGGATGAAAGACGGGTCCCACGGAATAGGTCGAGACTGTTTGAGGCCGACGTTGCGGAACAAGTTAGGACGTGACGAAGGCCGACAGCAGTTATTGCCCCTTTTGCGCAGCAAAGGCTGCAGGTATCGCGGCTGCCCACCATGGGGACAAGATATGGGG